ATGTGACACATGCTTTCCATGTATAACATATTATCTTTGACGAAGCCGCCAATATTTACGTAGTAGGGCAAAAATGGGGCCATAGTCAGTCTTACACAACTTCTAGCAAACCAAATAGAAAGGTTACTCGACAATCTGGAGAAGGAAAGGCGTCGGGAACACTGGCAAACTGATCGCCAAGCGATGCAAGATCGGGCAAAGCAACTGGAAAATTATCAGTTATATTGTAACAAAATAAGATTGTGAGTTAGAACTGATAATCCAAAAATCGCGCAGACATCGAATCAGGGAATAGGCAAGTAGGCCCAGAACTGAAAGGCCTGACCGAGCTGTAACCACCATTTAGGGGAATCCGAGTAACATCATTAACATGGGATACCCAAACTTGTGCCCGGTCGGTCTTGATATTTGCGATATTTTAGAGCTATTGCGCTTCTGATGCCTCGTTTTCAGACATATGTGGCAAACATACTGATTGCAATAAATCCCTATGAACAGATTCCTGATCTTTACTCTATTGATATGATACAAAAATACAAAGGAAAATCGCTGGGAACGCTGCCTCCGCATATATTTGCTACTGGTTTGTTTCTCAGCTTTTTCGTTATTTGCGTAATTCCGATGAAGTCTCCTGATTTTTGCTTCCTTTCGGAAAATGTGTTTCTTCAAAACATGCTTAAAAAAACAAACGTTGCAGACTGTTAGCTTTTTATTACAAAACTGTTGACAGTTGAATGTTGGAAAACGATTTAAATTAAGTACTAAATAAATTTCTAATAAAATTCACTTGATATGAAAGTATACGGTTATTTTCACCTGCAACTACAATGGTTTTTTGAAATCTAATCGAAAATAAGCTATTGTTTATAGCTGATAAGGCTTATCGGGATATGATGCGTAACGGCGAATCACAGTCAATTGTCATTTCTGGAGAATCAGGAGCCGGTAAGACAGAGTCCCAAAAGCACATTCTGCGCTTTTTATGCGAATCTTGGGGCAAATCGCTTGGTACTATCGAACAAAGCATTTTGGAAAGTACGTATTTAATATCAATAATTAGTTCGTGAAAACATACCAACAACATTGCTAAAGTAGGATACCCACATCCTATTATACAATTCATGGTTCTCGCAGAAAATTATGGGACAAATGATGCCATTATTTATTCTTTTATGGCACATGTTTCTTTAATTTTTTCGAAAACAGCGTCTAAAATTTTATTTGGCTTGAAAAGTTGACAATATTTTGTCTCACTTGAAAAATAAGGTCTCGCAAAGCAGAACGCAGTAGAACATCTGTTACCTCCAATCTAATAAAAAAAAATATGAAAGCACCCATCGTTAACGGTTGGAATACTTGATCAGCTTTTTTAATTCGTAGCACTCACAAAGGAAGCCTTTTATGCAAAGAATGAAATTGAACCACTCCTCTTCATATTAGGACGCTTGGTGCTAGACCATTGCACCACTAGTTTCCGTGGTTTGCTGGAAGCATCCATAATCCGTAGTGGGGCACACCCATACGTAATCTATACCGTTTGGGTGCTATATTCTGTACAACACATCTTTTAACAATGCCAGATTCTCGCGGAACTTTCGCGACAATAGCCTGCTTCTCAAACTGTGCAGTTGGGAACTTCTCCAATTACTTTGTTTATTGCTACAATGCCTAGTGGTCAGCATCCTGATGATCCTAACTTTTCTTGAGAGGTGCTTATTTTTGTTTTTCACTTTAAACTACTTAGTCGCTTTTTGCGCATATCTTTTTCTTTGCTACAGTGGTTTTACTGTAGTTTTTAAGTTATTTATTTTTTCATTCTATTAGCAGGTTATTTGAAGTTTAAAGATAAAAAGCCCTGATTGCTTACCAACAGTTTCTAGTTATCAAAAAACTTACAGCGATAACTTGGAAAATAACAGTTTCCTTCAAGAACTTTATTTCTCAAGATTTTTTCAGTAAGCACAATTTTGGAGTCATTTGGAAATGCAAAAACAGCGCGCAATAATAACAGCAGCCGATTTGGAAAATTCATCGAAATACATTTCGATACAACGGTAAATATTGTTGCTAGATGCAAAACCGTTGTCCACAAAGTCCCGTTTTAACACTGGTGACTAAACCACGCATATGACGAACAGAAAAAATCTGGGCAGTCTGCCAACAAAATCGCAAGCAACATGAGCTATAATGTCAAAAATTAAAACTCCCTCTGTAATTCAATTTCTATGAAAGGCTAATGAAAATAATTTAAATAGTTTTAAACGCTTTAAATAGTTTTTACTAATTAAACAGTATTTAGGGTACAATTGTTGGTGGTTTTGTATCGCATTATTTGCTGGAACGCTCCCGACTTTGTGGGCAGCATACAAGCGAGCGAAATTATCACATCTTTTTTCAACTGATTGCCGGAGCTGATGAACAATTAGCTAACAGGCTAAAACTGACGAAACCCGAACATTTTGATGTTAGCTTGCATTTGTTTTGTGCTGCTACAACTACACAAAATGCGTTTTGTTTAAAAATGTCGAATGTCTCTCCCCGCTGAAAAATCACGGGATTTTGATCGCAAAATCTATTTCCCTTTTTTTTAATTTTCTTTATTTATTAAGCCTTGTAGCTCCCTTTTTCCTTTTTGCTCCTTTCTTTATCTTCCACTTTTCCCCTTTAATTTTTACCAAGCCGCAACCAGTTGTGGCACTGGAAAAGAATATACAGGATTCATGGATCGAAGCACTCCTTTCCAGTTCTATAGCCATAATTTCCACAAAAAACTGCATTTTCGCTTCTGTAGAATTTTCAGTATGTGGTCCTCTGCAGAACCCTTCCCTAAACTTTCTTTTGTTTTCACTGCGCTGTTTCGTGGGCTATATTAATAATTTTGCAAGCAGATAATTATTGCTGTTGCAAAGAATATAGCGAAACAGGCTGGTGCTCCAGTTTCCTTTTTTTTCGAAAAACGGAGAAAGTTGTAGGACTTCTATGATTGTTTAGGAATCCAATGACTCATTATTTTTTTGGAAAGTATATCGCCAAATTTTTAGTACCTCAATAAGGGCTGCACCCAATTTTTCCTCAGCAGCGACAATGTGCTCAAAATACTGCCGGAAAGAAAGTCACATGAATCGGTAAGAACACCTTTTCCTCCAGATTTCTTACTAGAAATTGAAAAACTAAATTTTTTTTTGAAATTTTTCCGCTTCCCTTCCAGCTTTTTTATTCATCAGTCAAGCAAAATCAATGCCATACGTTACCGCTTTATTAAGTGCGACGTGTTTCAGGCATATTTAGTGGACGATGTGGTAGAGGACTATAATGATTTTCAAAAGTTGCTGCAAGCATTCAGTCACATCCGTGTCTCAGATGATGAACGAAATGCAATGTTTGAAGCTGTTGCTGCTGTTTTGCACCTTGGCAATATTAAATTTGTTGATGAAATGATCGGTTTTAAAAGTAAGTATATGTAGATATTTCTGTCTGACTTGTCATTCCTTGTATGCATAGAAGACGATAACGTGAGAAGAACCGAAGTAGAAAGCAAGTGGTAAATAGTATTAATTGAAAAATCCTGAGGAATTTACGTCATACGCGAGCTCTAGGTATTGCTCGAACGAGTTTTAATGTATGTGAGTAGGTGAAGAACTAGAAAATAAAGAAGTGAGGAAGCTGCAGCTGTATCAGTGGCAAGCAAAGCCGCGAAGATGAAACAGGAGCTGCTTGGAATAATTAGATGTACTAAGAAAGACGGTGAGCTTACTTCTTATTTTAAAAGTTAGGGTTGTTGTATTGGCTGGTGTATGCAGTTCTCCAGGCGAGCTGTTTGTAGCTTTTTATTGAAACGATCCTCATAGGGCCTAACGACCCGTGCAGCCTTTTTTATCTGAAAAAGGAAATGAGGTGGAAATGTTCATGATAGACTGGGTGACAAACTAAAGGACTTTGGAACAGTAACTTTAGACAAGAAGTATAATTTACTCAAAAAAAAAATAATTTAGACAAAGCACTAACATTTAGAAGAAATTTTTGAACAGAAAAGATACTTTTTAGAAGCTGAGTTTTTTTAGAATTTAGT